AATGAAAAGGCATTCTTGAAGCTTTCTTTTTAGCTTTTAATTGAAAACGAAATAAATTTACTATTTCCAGTAAGTAAAATAGTAATGTATTTCAAACAGAAATTATATTGATTGGAATCTCAACTTTTTGGTCGCTTTCAGAAAATCATTTAAAATCGGCCATTTTTGACACGTTTGTAAACAAACGTTAATTCTCGGTTTTAAAAATATACCCAAATTAAAATATACTTTTCTGAATATTAGCTGATTTTAACAAAATTATTACTAATCATCGCTCTTCTCGGATAATGTCGTGTATGATCGACCATACTTTCAAACGGACACGTTATTTAAAAAAATAAAAATAAATAAAAATTATTTTAAAAGTGTTGGTGCAAAAAAATACTTTGTAAGCTTTTCAATTTTTGATTAGTAAATTTTTCACCTAATGCAGATTTTTAAACGATAAATTATAAATTAAAATTTTTTAAAATTCTTGTAAAAATTCATTATTCATCAAATTTTTTTTTGAGTTAAATAGTTTGAAAAAAATATTTACATTCTCCAAACTTTATTTAAGTAATAAAAAAAAATTAAGATTGAAATTTAATTCATCGAAATTAAGTGGGTGAGGGAAAATGACGTGTGTTAAAAAAAAAAAAAAATCATTTATTTGTGAATAAGTCCTAAAGTTTTATTAAAACCCGACAATTATTTGATTTTTGCAAGAATTTTCAAATCAATGGGTTTCTCATCTGATAAAAAAGCACTCGTAGACCGCTGACGTAAAAAAAAAGATTTTTTTAACCAAAATTTCGAATGTGCTAGAAATGATAAAATTTAATAAAAAATAAAAAAAATATTTTGGACTTTTCTCTTGAACACAAAACATACGATATAAAACTTTGTTTTTAAGTTTGGGGTCTTTTCTCAGCGAAAAAAGTGGAGGTACCTATTCCACATCTCGTTTAAAGGAAATGTGAAATAATTGATCAACAATTTTGAAAATGAAACAGAAGTAAATGGTGACCCCCCCCCCACACACACACAAAAAAAGCTAAATCGACGTACGTCTCAGCACACACCAGATTTACTATTTATTTCGACTACTTCCTCAATGTACTTAACCGGACACACGGTTAAGACCCCCGCCTCAAAGTTTTATTTGCATTTATTAAATTTTTTGTTCATTTATTAAAGTTATTTATCAAAGGTTCGCGTGTTTATTACGCCTAAGTAAAAAAAAAAAAAAAAAAAACTAACAAAGAAATTTGAAATGTACAAAAATATAGAGTTCTTTACAAAATTTAAAAAATAGCTTTCTCAAAGAAAAAAAAACAAAACAAAAAACCACAAAAATGGCAACATAAACATCCTAAAAAAAATTTACTTTTAGTTTTGTTGATAAATGCTAAAAAAGAATAAGACATTGTTAGTGAGTTTATATTCATTCATTCTTAGTTGCCTAAACAAAAGAAAATCATTTTGCAATCAAATTTGAGAAAATATGAAAAACTGCATGACTATTTTTTCTTGTAATAATTGTCAACAATACGGTATTTAAAAAAAATATTTTTTTTGACACATAACTACTTCATAATAACATTGAAAGAACTCTTTTCACATTTGCAATCCTTTTTTGTTTGTTTGTCTATTACTCAACGTCAACTAATCAGATAATTTATCACATTTCATTTAAATTCCTCATTCCAATTTTTGTTCTAGGTTTATTAAAAAAAGCCTTAAGAAGAGAGTTTTAAAAGACCGGACGGGGGAACCTAAACAGCTTTTTTTCATTTTTGTATTAATTGTGCATTAGCAATCAATACGCATTATTCTCTAGTTTGACTAGATTCCATATATAAATAACATTTTCATTTTACAGTCTACCTTTTGTTTATTACAAAAAAAAAAAAAAAAAAAAAAAAATTAAAAAAATGTGATTTTACTAATCTGAAATTGAACTGATATACAGACATGACAATTATTGACTGTCTAAAAGGAAATTTTACTAAAATAAATATAAAAAACGAAAAAGGGTACATCTGACGTAGTGTATTTTTGGTAAGCATTAAAAAAATAAGCGACTAAAAATATGAAATATAGAATTTTTCTAATTTTCACTTTGCTTACAGTAATAAAAACTAAAAAGTTTTTTTTTTTGTTTTTTTTCAAAACAGTTTTTGTTGTTTGAGGAGTTCCCTATAAAAATTCTGATCTTTGGTCATTTGCTCAGATTTGGGAAGTAGAGCAGAGAACTTTTCAGCACCCCACAGTAAAGTAGTGTAAGAATTGTATGTTTTTTTTTTAAAGTTAACTTTAATTACTAACTTTCTTGTTACTGTTACACCGTAAAAAAAAAGAAAAGGTTTGATCAATATGAACAGAAAGAAGAAAAATTACATTTTTAGTTAGTCGCAATGCAGACACTACTAGACCCCCCCCCCGCTTTTTACTCAGGTCAGGTCGGGGAGAGGAGCATCTTAATCACGTGATCAACTTATCGTAAACTGTACTGAGAAAAAAAAAAAGCTTTTTTTTTTCTTACAATTATTGAAAATTATTTTACTCCTCCTTTTACTCGTTTTCTGATCTGATATATAGAGTAAAGATAAATTTAATTTTTTTTTGACTGAAACTTCATATAATTTTAGGCATAATGTAAAATAAAAGTTCAAATTTTTATTTTTTACAAACATTCCAGGGTCAATGTTTGTAAACCCACCCTTATAGTACAAATTTCAAGGTAAAATAATTGCTTTTTGTTTTTTTTCTCATTAACCATTTCCTTAAAAGGGGTAGGGAAATTAAAATTCAATTTGAATAGTTTCATTGCAACTTTCAATTATTAATTTTATTAAAAAATAATTCGAATGAAATCGATTAAAAACCAAAAATCAATTGTTTGTAATTTTGTCGATTACTCTCTAAATCTTCAATTCATTATTGTAACTTAAAAAAAAGGGGTGGTTTATTTTATTTTGTAATCAGCTGTGTGTACACAAATACTTTCAACAAATGATTTGAGAAAGTGATTCCGGAGAACATAGATCATAACACTTCGATATTTTAAACGTGATAATCATTATTTATCATTATTATTAAAATAAAACTTAATGTTTGGATATTTTAAGTTCAATTAAAAGATCGCATACCCTTTTTGTTTGCTCCAATGAATTTTCAACCGGATCTTTTTCTCTTCACAAATCACATTGATAAACTATGGATGCAATAGCATTTATAAAATTTAAATTAATAATCAGCCCATTTAGTTATTAAAAGTTCTAACAATCATTATCATTAACGTTTCGTTTACTAATTACTTTCTCACATCTCTAAGATGTGAAATATACGTGATCAACAATTATTGCTTGAAAATGAAACAGAAGTAATGGTGAAACCATAAAAATAAAAATTAAAATAAAAAAAACCCTATTTAACCCTGAGAGTAAATTTTTTTTTAAATTCAATTATTACTAATTATTACTTCTTAAGAACTGAGAAACCTATCTTTTTGTTTGTTTAACATAATGACTCATTTACAAATTTCTTATCAATCATCTGTAGTGACTTACATTGTTAAATTCTCCCTAAAAAGACTAAATCTAAATATGCAGGTACAGGACATGTGATATCATAGAAAGGAAAAAGAAAAGAAAGACTTTTACTTTACATTAGTTAGTAGTGGTCAGGTAACTAAATGAGAAAAAAAAAAAAAAAAAGAAAAGAAAAGAAAATAAAGACTTTTACTTTACATGAGTAGTGGTCAGGTAACTAAATGAGAGAAAAAAAAAAAACAGATTTGAACTTTACTACTAAGTATGTATTGTATTTATTATTGTACAACCTTGAAATTTTACAGGAATTTTAAACATTTTATTAATTTAAGTTTATAGTTGGGTAAAACATCTCTGATGAACTAACGAAATACATTTTTTTTCGTTATTTCGTAAACACTACAACAGTCACCTTCAGAGAAATTTAATAATTTATTTATATTTTTTTTTACAATTATTTATTAAATCACTCGAGCCAAATTCGGCGTATAAAGACAAAGATTTTTATTAGAGAAAAAATAGTAAAGATAAATTGATTAAAAAATATGCATTCAGTTTTTCTCTATTTTTTTTTTATACAAGAAATTAACAGCAATGAAAATATTTTTTAAATTTTATATTTATAATTTGAATTAAGGAAAGCACATTTTATTTTAACCGTAACCAATCATAAATTTAGATACCTGTGTGTATTGTAGATAAGTAGTGACTGTAAGGTGGCTTAGTTAAAAGATGATCTTAAAAAAACAACTGAAAAGTAAAAATAAAAGTACAGATAATAAAGATTCTTTATTTTTATTTTCCAATTGTTAAATTTTTAGTTTCAAAAGTTGTTACTTCAACCAAGCAACGATTTTTTTGGAGGTGCAATCAAAAAGAAAGAATATTCTGACTAAAAAAAGAAAAGAAAATCACCATAAAAATTCATAAGCTAAGCAAAACTAGAATAAGATAAACAAAAAAATAAAAAAAATAAAAAGAGAGTTTTTTAAAAGAAACAAATTTGTTTTTTTTTTCTAATCCTAAGAAATAGTTTTTAATTTTAATCGGATAAAAAAATATTTAAAATTATTTATATAATTCCGATCGTTACAGACAGACAGGTGAATGTAAGGTATTTTTAATCGAACCATTTTTTTTTCTAATTAACACAAAGACGTGATCTAAACAAAAAAAATATTGTAAACCCAAGGTAGAAAATAAATAAATAATTCAACAATTGAAAATACCTGTTCAATTTGCAATTCCACCATAAAAAAAATCATTTAAAAACTAAAATAATAAAAGAATGCTTCCTCGCCACAAGAGTTTGAACCTACTCAGTTCCAGACTTTAAATAAAATAAACACTTCAGAATTGGACTTTTTCTTCCTTAAAAAAAAAGGATATTAATAGTAATAATTAATAATTACAGTTACTAAAATAAAACAAATTTTTTTTAAAAATCCCCAAAGAAAACCTTACCATTCTCTGAATACCAGCTTCCAGCATGAGTTGCAAATCTTTTCTTGGACATCTTCTTGAAAAATCTCGATACGAGTAACAAAATTAACAAGATCAAAGGCACCAAACCTAAAATAATCGTCTGAAGTAGCAGTCTCCTCCTTTGTTGGTTGTCGAACGGTTCGTTTTCTTTTCTGGAACCGCTAACAACAACAACACTAGGTACTACAAAGGCACTGCCACTAGTGCCGTTAGTAGCAGACTGACTACTGCCCAAAAAACAATTGGAATCACCCGTCGAAGAAAATGAATTTTCGCTTTGATAGTAAAGATGATGACAATAATAATAATAATAATGGTGGTTGTGCTGTCGGTAGTAGAAAGGATAGCGGTGAATGTAAATATCTATTTTTCCGGATTTGGTGAAACGAAATAAAGATAGTATTATTAAAAATTATTATTATTAGAGTAGCGTGTGTATGTGTGTGTGTGTATATATATATATATATATATATATATATAGCTTCTTAGAAGTTAAGTGTGTGTTTGTGTATTTTTTAAATATGGGTGAATTTGTTTTAGAAATTGTTGATGGGCCACTTTTTTGCGGGAGGTCAGTTCTTCAAAAAATAATTAATATCAAAAAAAGATCTTTGTATTTTTTTTTTTTTTCTAAATCCGTCTGAGAGACGTCTCTTGCGTGCATCTATTGTTATTATTCTAGCATTTACATTACGAACAAAAAAGTAAATAATAATAATAATCAACAGCAGCAGCAACAGACAAAACAAGGAAGAAAAGGAGGGGGGTAAAGAAAAACCGGAAGTGTAAAGAATATCGGAAGTTAGCACTACTCTTGTGCGCATGTGCGAACACATGGTTTATCTGAATGGACACTTGTTCAGTTTACATTGTGCAAAGATTTTTTTTTTTTTTTTTTTATTAGGGCTAAAAAGTCTATTTTAGACTAAATCGAATTTACTGATTTCGAAGTATTATTCAGGCTATTATAGTTTTTGGACATTAATTTTTAAGGGAGCATAGTAATTATAAATGTAATATTGTATAATCATTATGAAAGCATTTTGTGATCACACTTTAATTTGTACTTGTAACTCTCAGTGTCATTTGTGTTGCCTTTTCTACATGATTACTGTATTAACTGGATTCATTGATTAGATAATGAATAGAAGAGGTTGTGTGAATCACCCAGACAACCTTTATATTTGTGTGGAATTTATTCTGCAAGACTAGCAGAAGAACAAAGGCACTAAATTAAAAACAGCCTACAAATACTTGGGGTATAAAGTTAGTGGCCAAAAGAATAGTTGGACACCCAGTATATATGCTACACCATGTGTGATTCAGAGCTAACACTGGTTGAATGGAAAACAAGGGAATGTTTTTGCTATACCAATGGTATGGTATGAACTAAGCAATTATGTCTTTTGTATGACCAATATTTGTGGAAAAACAAATAAAAAAATTGGGTATGATTGTAAGCTGACTCTAAAACCATTTTCCATTTTCGCCATGGTGATTCACATGAAAACATTGTCATGTCTTGATGAACTCACTGAACTTGCTATAGATGAAGAGTACATGTTAAAAGTAATAAAAAAAAGTTATGCTTGTTAAATCCTCAAAATTTGAATGATTCAGTAAGAGATTTATCATTGTCAAATGAGTTTTAGTATCGAGACTATAGCAATGGACTCTCCTATGGAAAAGCACAAAAATTTTCTTTTTCTATTTTTACCATGAAGATTTAGTCCCCTTTTTCAACCATGAAAACATTGGAAAAGTTTAACAAATGTACCTACAAAAAAAAACATTGTTTCAAAAGGAAGGTTTTTTTCCTTGACACCACTGTATACTCCTTTGAGAATTTTTAGTTTTAAAAAGCTATTTTTAAAATTTTAATAAAACAAATTAATGAAACTGCATTTATACATTTGCTTTTTTTTCTCAAGAATTGAAAATAAAGGTCTTAAACAGTATCTATTATTTTAGATTGTTTTATTTACAAGAATAATTTTATATTTATAAGTTTATAAAAATAGGTGAATTAACTACAATCCAATATTTATTATTGGGCATATTATAAAGAATTAACTATGGAAACAATTTTTTTTAATTCATAAATTTATAAAAATGTTCATGAACAAGAAAACTTAAATGTCAAGTCACTGTAATTATAAATTTTGAAAAAATACATTTCCAGGCATTTCTTTCATTTGCCCTTGACAAAAATATACTAAAATAGATTATGGGCATCTGGATTTATACTTCCTTTTTTCTTGAGAAATGACCACAAAAATATTAAAAACTGTTTAGTAGCCTATTTATTGACAAGAATTATATTTAATAATTTTGTTATCAATTCTTGAGAAAAAAGAGAATAAAAAATCCAGTTTCATATGTCTGAGTTTTATTAAAAATCTAAACATAGCTTTTTAAAATTAAAATTATTGAGGGAGTATACAGTAAGAGTGATATCAAGAGAAAAACTGTCCTTTTACTGTGCAGCTCCTACTTATAGAAGCAGCCAACATTCTTTTGTGTGTGTGTGTGTGTGTGTGTGTGTGTGTGCGTGTGCGTGTATAACAAAGAAAGACTGATAAAGGGAATATCTGAGTAGCTCCAAGCTCTCTTTATCTTTCTGCATGGGTTTTGTGGAGCAAAGACGGAAATACACACCAAGACAATCAATCATCAAATGATAAAAAATGGTTTCTGAGTTGGAGGATCTGCACATCCTTCTGGTTAGCAAATTAATTCTTTGAAAATAAATATTCAGCATTTTTCAACCAACAATTTTTTCCTGCCAACAATAAAAACATGCTTTGTGATCCCTTTGAAGAGTATTTAAGCCACTAGATGAACAAAACCAGTAAGGAGATAGAGATGGATACATGTGACATCAGTTCAAAACAGTAGCATGGCTTAAAAGAGATTCCTTTACTCATTCACCCATCTTTCTCACCAAGCTACATGACACATACACTCTTCTTCACCAAGCTATGTAACATTTACACTCTTACTTACCAAATGTCACTTATACTTTTTCCTCACTTTCTCCCTTGCCTCTTTTTTCTCATGTACACATGTAGGAATTGCATATCTTTCATCTTAACAATTACAAAGAAGGAACTTTAACACAAGAACTCTTTAACAGTCATACACACTGAGAAAAATTTAGTTGTAAAAACATGAAAATAAAAATATTTCATACTAGCTTAAAGGCCACGCTATTGGGCAGCATTTAAGCTAGCTCCTGCAGAGGGCTCTTGATTGGGCTTTCATCAAAATAGGTAGGGAGGAGTAGATGCAATATGCAACAATAAACTACAAAAGAACTCAAGATTAATCACTGCATCTAAGTATTGCATTAATATCTAAGCTTACCTTTTAAAAGTTTGGCGATAATTCTTCTGCTGCCACTTAATTTAAAGACAATTTGATGTATGTAGTACAAACAATTATTTTTATTTCATGGGTGACTTTTGCTGGATTTTGCAATTAATTTTGATTATTCCCAAATTTATTTCATGTTATAAAAATTGTTATCATACAAAAAATCACGTAAAAAAATCACCAAAAACTATCACAGTAATGAAAACTTAGGAATCTAAAATATCAGGATTGCGGGCCCTGATCCAGCCTGGAATGTTTTTAATTTGCTCACAGAGTTGACCTGATTTCAAAATGATGTGATTTGATGGGCTTCAGCCTCTAGGATTAAAGTTGAAAAACAATTTTATTTTGAAACACTGTAATTTGGGAACAGTAATTTTTTTTCATTTTAAATGAGGTATTGAAAGTTAGAGAGTTGCGTCCCTTTAAGTTGAAAAAGTGTGGCAGTGATACACTAACATTAGCATTTATTATATAGAATTAAAAACCTTTCTTGCCTTTTTCTTTGTTGTGGGTTGATTCAAACCACTACAGTCTTAACCTGTTTAAGTCTAGAGTTAGCCACTACCTTCCCCACATAGCCACATAAACTGTGCCTGTTACTTTGTAACCCTCTACCTTGAGTGGTTCTAGGGCCTTGCACAGGGTGAACATCATTGTAAAAAAATTAAGCAATGCTTTTTTTAGAGAGTTTAAAATACATCTCTTTTGGTGCTCAATGATGTGTAAAAATTTTGCATTTATAAAAATTGATTTTTATCTCTGTCATTGCTTTCTTTGTCAATCTAATTTAACTATCTGTTGTAGATTAGCTAGTACCTCTTCAGCACTCTACCAGATGGCCTGGCTCATAGCCTTAAATAGTCTATGATTAAGGACTTCAACAGTTGATTAATAAGTTGATACTAAGCTGATTAATATTTGGACTGATCTTACTTCGTTTGGCTATACAGCATTTGACCCTACTCTTTTTCTTGTAATTGCTTTGTAACTTATTGTTCTGTGTTTTTTTGTATGTATCCATTAGCACCAGATACTCATACTGAATAAATATATTAAGCACTCATTCTTCTTTGGGTATTATTCACCTCGACGATACAACACTATTATTTTTTTCTTTTTTTTTATTTGGTAACCAGTGGCAGTTTTGTATAAAAGAGATAAAAAGTAATCAATTGTGTCAAAAAAAAAGTGTAACAACAAACTTCTCATCAACTAGAAAAAGATTTCATTACAACTTAATGAATTAGAAAAACTTATTACTAGACTTATCTATCAATATAGTACAAGAAAAGGTTAGCCAATTCTTGCTGATATTGGTTGCCCCATCCTACAGGCTTATGGCTATATCCTGTTGGAACATTGCTTCTTGTATGGTCACCAAAATTAAGCAATGTCAAGCCTGGTCAGTACCTAAATGGATGAACACTTGGGAATACCAGATGCTGTAAGCTTGAGTGGTATAATGGATAATGACTTGGATTTGTAAATCAGAGAGCCGAGTTCTAATTCCAGTTGTGGTTGTTATATTCACTTATATATAAATACCTTTGGGAAAAATATGAATCAGCCTCTTCTCCCATCCCCATCTATGGTTTAATTCATATCAGGAAATCTTATTATCTCCCTAAAAATTCTTACAATCTAAAAATATTT